CCCCCCCCGGCCGGCTGGTGAGCGGAGCGGAGCGGCAGCAGGACCCCCGGTGTGTCCGGGGCGCGAGCGCCTGCAAGTCCGGGCTTATGCAACCCGCCTCACTCCCGTGCGGAGCGGGCCTGCCCGGGGGCCCGGCCGGGCAGGCTGAGGCGCGAGGCAGGCATCAACAGCCGACTGGTGAGTGAGTGAGGCGCGTGTTGTCGGCACGTGGTGTTCAGCCTGCACTGCATAATGCTTACGAATTAAATTCCTTTCAACGTTACGAACAATTCTCATTCTTTGAAAGCTTTCTACAAAAGATTTTATTCAGTGTTGCAAGACCATTTTTCGCAAGGATTGGGCAGCGTGCGGGCCCGACGACGTTGCGTGGTACACAGAAAGTGAGCCACAACAAATTTATTTCTTGAAACCAATTTAATTTGAGCAACTCCAGTTTCATCTATACATAATAAAGGGAATACAAAACCCCGAATAACACTAGCAAATAACACCATATGATCAAAGCGAACGAAACTGAAGTTGAAGTCTTATTAAGGAGAAAACTATACCTCGATGATTAATGTTATAGTAGCTCCTCCAAACATGGATCAAAATTAGAGTTCGTTGGAGTTCCCTTTATCTTCTAAAGTAATATCGACCCTAAAATCACGATTTTTCTAACAACCATCTATATTTGGCATGTTCACTTTAGGTTCCTGCAATGTTGCGATTTTACTCACGAAAACTATTTCTTTTATTTTGTTCACCACAATTTTTCGGACGTCCTGCGAGTCGCTTTTGTCAAAGGGAGATAGCGCACCACGCTGATACTCACCTCCGTCCGCGTAGGTCTCGGAACCGTAGCCGTCCTGCAGTCCCGAGGCCCAGGTGCCCTCGTACTTGGCCAGGGAGGCCGCGGACTGGCGCACGCCGTAGCGGCCCTTGGCGCCCTGCGTCCACTCGCCGCGGTACACCCAGCGGCCGCGCGACTCCACGCCCAGCGCGTGCCGCTTGCCATTCTGCCACTGGCCCTCGTACGTGCTCCCGCTGCGAACAAGGAGAAGAACAGAGGGAGAAATTCAAAGAATACGAAAAATGACTGCAACAGATTTGTATATGTGCTGCCGTTCTAATCAAAAGAGTACACTTTGAAAAACAAAGCGAGAACGAAAACATAACAACGTTTACCCGCTGTGTGAGATGGCATATACGCCCAAATAACCAAAACATCATTGTTTGGAAATACGAAAATGTAATTTCGAGCTCTTTTTCTCATTAGCAGCAACCGTGCTTTTATGCCCCCACCCCGTCTCCCCCGACACCATCACCGTCACCACGAAAGAATAATGACTGTGTGAAAAATATTAGTTTGAAAGTGCGCCTTGACAGCTCTAGATGGCGAACGCAGCCGGTCATGGGCTCATTCGGATTAGACAAATTCGATTAGGGCGACGACGCTAACTGGCGTTGGGGAGAAACAAGTTTAAGGGGTGGGGTTGGGGGTGAACGGGGTAGGGAGAGAGGCTAGTAGGGGGAGGGGGATGAGGGTGCGAGCTCGAAGAAAGGTGTATAGCATGGCGCCATACGCCCCAGGACGAGATTGGATCATTACGAATCGTTCCGCAGCTGTGTATGAGAAAAAATAAATAGCTTCAAAGACGAGCAGGAAAATTCTTTGGCACGTGCCGAGGCTTTTAATCCTACGGCTTTCAGCGAGCGCTTTCACGCTGCACCAAACGGTCTTCCAAGGTGCAGGCTACCTGCTGCAGTCGAGCGGAGTGCCCGGGCCAGGTGAAGCCCCGCAGGCAGGACCCGCGCTTACAAGCTAAGACCCTAGTCACTCTTAGCGTCTGGCTTTGGAGCCGTACACCAACAACACGACGCGAAAAGCGCGCAAGTACACAATCGGTCGAATAACAACCAAACGCGAAAAAGACTTAAAACACAGCAATTCACATTATGATCGTTCAGTTTGCAAGGTTGTGTGTGCAGAAAATCATTTGGCGATTAAGTCTCCAGCTCGTCGGTGACGCCAGCGGCCGCTGCCGTGGGGGTGCCCCCCCCCC